TACATTCAGGAGGGAGCTAGACATGGCCCTTGCAACTAAAGGGATCAGGGTACAGGGAGAAAACAGGAATGGGATACTGAGATTGCATGATCAGCCATGGTCATACTGAATAGGGGTGCAGGCTCACAGCTACACCAATTTTCTATGTACCACACTGTAAAGCCCCTACTCATAACCTCAAACTGGCTACCCTCTGTCCTTCAAAGTGCAGTTAGGATTATTTAGGAATTGTTGTCCCAGAGCAACATGGCAAACTTAGTGTTCGGAGGCTAGTGAGCAGTTTAACTGATTGACAATTAACTGCTTTTTTTCCTGCATTCTCTGTACCAACGATCAGTCATTGCACCCTCTTCCCATCCTATGTAAACGTTCCATTTTGTCAAGTCTGTTTCTTACATCCTCATGTGAAGCAGGAAAAGCTTTGGCTCCTTACAGAAGGTGGTGCGCACAGCCCAGACCATCACAGAAGCCAACCTTCCATTCATGGACTCTACTTACACGGCTCGCTGCCACAGAAAGGCTGCCAACGTCATCAAAGACCCATCACACCCTGGTAATGATCTCCTAATGAGCTTCTTCCCTCCTGTTATTGGATTCCTAAACAGACTGCTCTAATTTTAAATCTAAATGCTGATCTTACACTGCACAGTGCAACCTTGTGTCCCTCGCTCTGGCTAAACACCCGAAAATCTGTACGTCCTTGTTGGCTGCGATCTGCCAGGGCCGCTCACAAAATAAAAAAACAAACAATGCTTTTCACTGTACTTGGGTACATTCCAGCACAGTAATTCAAATGGGAAATTATTTCATTCCAACAACATTGAATTTCAGACTGGGGTGCAGGAAGCTGGCCAGCTCCTGTTAAATTCTACAAAACATTGTGGTGATGCTGTCATTGTGTGACTGGTGTTTACGACTAACTGTTCGCTGCTGCCAAACAATCAGAAACAGGAGGCCATTCGGCCCATCAAGCCTGCTCTGCCACTCAATAAGATCAGGGCTGATTGGATATTCCTCATGTCCACTTTCCTGCCCTTTCCCTATAACTCTTGATCCCCCCCACCACCACCCAGCTGATCAAGAACCTATCTCAGCCTTAAATATACACCAGGCCTCCCTACCCTCCATGTCCACTGACTCCCAACTCTCCGTGTGAAGGAAGTCCTCATGCTCAGCCTTAAATCAGTGCCCCCTGTATTCTGAGACTGTGCCCTGTGGTCCTAGACTCTCCCACGAGGTGGGAAACATCCTCTCAGCATTTACCCTATCAATCCCCTTCAGCATCTGATCTGTTTCGCTGAGATCGCCTCTCTTTATTTGACACTCCAATGAGTTAGTGCAGAGCTTGTAACGAGGTCAGAGACGTGGCCCGCATGGAATAGGAGCTACCTGATTGGGGCTGTTAACCTGGTCCAAACAGGGAGCCCTGGCTGACAGATAGAAACAGGGAGGGTCAGAGGTTCACTCAGAGCTGGATCAGCGTTAAGGACTCTCTCTGTGTAAATAAAGAGGGACTGGGTGACGAGATACCAGCCCCTGTGGATTTACTTCAGAGGCGACAAGCCTGGGATTAATGGTGTAACCATACAAAAGCCCCTAACTAGCTGGGAGACCAGAATTGAACACAATATTCCAAAAGCTGCCTAACCAATGTCCTGTACAGCCACAACATGACCCTCCCAACTCCTATACTCAATGCACTGACCAATAAAGGCAAGCGTACCAAACACCTTCTTCACCGCCCTGTCTACCTGCGACTCCACTTAAGGAACTATGAACCTGCTGCCCCAAGGTCTCTGTGTTCAGCGACACTCCCTAGGACCTTACTATTAGGGTGTGTAAGTCCTGCCCAAAATGCAGCACCTCACATTGATCTAAATTAAACTCCATCTGCCACTCCTCGGCCCATCGCCCCATCTGATCGAGGTCCTGTCGTACTCTGAGGGTAACCTCCTTCCCTGTCCCACTACACCCTCCAATTTCGATGCCATCTGCAAACTCACTCCCCGTCCCTCCTGCGTTCACATCCAAATCATTTCTATAAATAATAAAAAAGCAGTGGGATCCCTGTGGCACAGCCGCTGGTCACAGGCCCCCAGTCTGAAATACAACCCTCCACCACCCCCCCCTCCTGTCTCCTACCTTCCAGCCAGTTCTGTATCCAAATGGCTAGTTCCCCCTAGATTCTGTGTGATCTAACCTCGCTAACCAGTCTACCATGAGGAACCTTGTTGAATGCCTTACTGAAGTCCACATAGATCACATCCACCATTCTACCCTCATCAATCCTCTTCGTTACTTCTTCAAAAAATTCAAACACATTAGTGAACACACAATGTCCCGTGCACAAAAACCATCACATTGCCATTTCACCTGTTGGCTTCATCTGATGTGAGAGTCAAAGCTGTTGCAGCTTATAGGAGCAGAGGGGCTGTTTGACAATTTTAAACCCTGTTTATAGTTAGACCGTTTGTTGTCTTGTGTAATAAACATCTGTTTTATTGTTTAAAAATAAATCTGCAGCTGTGTGCACTCCTGCTTCAGTGAACGACACCCTCTTCCAAGGGGAAAAAAAAAGATCCATCAAGCCAGATTTCAGTTCTGAGGAAGGGTCACTCAACCAGAAACGTTAACTCTGATTTCTCTCCATGGACGCTCTCAGAACTGCTGAGCTTTTCCAGCAATTTCTGTTTCTGACTTACAGAATCCACAGTTCTTTCGGTTTTTATTAAGCCAGGTTTCAGCCTGGGATTGAACGTATCCATATCACTCTGATAAAGTCATACAGCACAGAAACAGACCCTTCGGCCCAACCAGTCCATGCTGACCCATAATCCCAAACTAAACCAGTCCAACACCTTCCTGCTCCTGGCCCATATCCCTCCAAACCTTTCCCTATCCATGTACTTATCCAAATGTCTTTTAAACATTGTAACTGTACCCGCGCTACCACCCCTTCCTCTCACAGCACATTCCACACATGCATTATGCTCTATGGAAAAAAAAATTCCCTCATGTTTTTTTCAAATCTTTCCCCTCACCTTAAAAAATATGTCCCTCAGTCTTAAACTCCCCCAACCCAGCGAAAAGACACCTGCTATTCACCTTATCTATGCCCTTCATGATTTTATAAACCTCTATAAGGTCACCCCTCAGCCCCCGACGCTCCGGGGAAAACAGCCCCAGCCTCTCCCCGTAGCTCAAACCCTCCATTCCCAGTAACATCCTGGTAAATCTCTCCCGAGCCCTCTCCAGTTTAATAACATCCTTCCTATAACTGGGCGGGGGGGGGGGGGGGGGGGGGGGGGACCAGAACTGGACGTGGTTCTCCAGAAGAGGCCTCACCAACATCCCCTGTATAACCTCAACGTGACGTTCCCCAACTCCGATACTCAAAGGGTCTGAGCGATGAAGGCAAAGTGTGTTAAACACCTCCTTACCCGCGTTATCTACCTGCAACCCCACGTCCCTCTGACCTACAGCACCACCCAGGTCCCTACTTTTAATTGTATAAGTCCTGCACCTTTGTTTGTTTTATCAAAATGCTGCACCTCACGTTTATCCAAATTAACCTCCATCTGTCCCTCCTCGGCCCGTTGGCCCAATTTATCAAGATCCTGTTGCACTCTGAGTGAACCTCCCTCACTGCCCACGATACTACAGAGCTCGGTGCCATCTGTAAACTCACTAACCGTGTCACTACATTCACATCCGAGTCATTTATATAAACGATGAAGAGAAGTGGGACCCACCACCGATCCCTGTGGCACAGCTGCTGGTAACAGGCCTTGTAAACCCCAATGAAACAAACCCAATCTGTCTTGAACGGCATCTCCTTCCAGGTATCAGTCCAATTAACCTTCGCTGTCCTCAGCAACTGGACAGAGTTGAGGTCCCAGCACTGACTCCCCTCGCTACCACCCCCCCAACCCACCCGCTCACTCGTGACTCCCTGCCGGCCTGGAAAAGGCCCACCGATTCCTGCTCTGTTTTCCCGCTAACCGGCCCGTCTTCTCTCTGTACGAAACCCCCCCCACCCCCCACCACGAGCTCGCCTTCTGCACAATCATCTTTGATGTGGCGCTGCATCAATGGAAATCTGAATCGACAGTGTGTGACCCCACCCCACCCCACCAACCGCCACCCAAAGGACACTGGCGGCTTGTACAAACGTGATTTCCTGTTGAGAAACCGCGCTGTCAGTTATTCTGTAAATGCCCATCTGATGGTGATTAATAGAACACAGAACAGTACAGCACAGTACAGTACAGTACAGGCCCTTCAGCCCACGATGTTGTGCCGAACTTTTACCCTAATCCCCAAGGTCTATCTAACCTCCGCCCCTACCTATACTATCATCCACATGCCCCTAATGAGGCCGGCTCCACTACCCTCTCCGGCAATGCATTCCACGCCCCGACCACTCTCTGAGTAAAGAACCTAAAGATCGTAACTCCTTCCCCCGGGACTCTCACAGTTATATCAGGCCCACGGTTTACAGCCTCTATCCCTCAGAAACACTGGGTACAATTTGGAAGTTTCTATTCCCAGTATTTATTTATTCCGAGGGAGCAAACCGCTCAGATTGAAAGGTCGGGCACTCAGAGAATCTGCAAAGGTCCCTGGAGATTTTATCTGGGATTCAGTGTCCAAACTGGGGAGGGGCCGTGGGGTGGGAAACATACAGCCATTTCTCCTCCCCCTCCCCCCCGCCAACACCAAACACTCACCGTGTGTCTGAGCCACTCTCACTCTGTCCCTCAATCAGTCCCCAGCCTGGATCTCCCACAACACACACCCCCCCTTCCTCCTCCTGGGCCCCCCGACCCAGCACCCGGCCCCCCCCCCCCCCCCGCCCCCCCCCCCCCCACCCCACCCCGTCCAGGCTCCCTCCCCCTCACTAACCCTCCCCTTCCTCCAAGCTCTCTCCCCACTCCTGCAGACTGTCCCCCTCTGCCCCCACCGAACATCCTCCTTACCTCCCACCTCCAACTCCCTGCGCTCGACCCCCACCCACACGACACCCCCGCCACCCCTCTCTGTCCCTAAACCCATGGCCCTCTCTCCTGCTCCCCAGGGGGAAACGTTTGTGTCACCGTGTTGGGATCCCCTCGAAGTTCCACGGAGTCGGGGGCAGATGGGGGGCAGGGGAGGTGTCCCTGAGACCTGAGGCCTTCTCTCTGCAACCCCCTACCTCAAATCCCCCACACCACGGCCCCTCCCCCAGCAGCTCCTAGCCCTGAGTCTTGGTAAACTCCTGCAGGGCCCACTGCTTGTTCCCCAGCAGCTCCAGGAGGCGGCTGTATTCGGATACAAGTCCCTCAAACTCCTCGCCCAGCATCTGGTAAAGGCCCAGGCTCCCACGCAGGACCTCCGCACTCTTCTCCTTAACTTCCAGCTCCTCGAGGAGCAAGGCCCTAGGTCAGGGGAGACACGCATCAAACCAGGAGGCAATGGATAGAGATTGGGGAGCGAGCGGGGAAGGGGG